TATTATTATTATTATTATTATTATTATTATTATTATTATTATTATTATTATTATTATTATTATTATATTATTATTATTATTATAATTTGAGCCCATATCTTTAATATTAATATTATCAATACTATTAATAACTTTATTACCTTTATTAGCGCCTACCACCTTTATATTTTGTATTCTCGCACTACTTCTTGTAGGTTTCAGTTCAACTTGAGATTTAGGCTTACTAACGCGTTTGGTATCAGTAATAATACTACTAGTAGTATCACTAGAATTATCAGTAGTAGTAGCAATAATATTTGACATGATTTAAGTTTTTTTTGTATAATTGTATGTATATAAAAATATTTTTTTTTAAATACAAAATTGTTTTGTATCAATTCAAAAAAAAAAAAAATAAAGACGCGATTTTTTTTTTGTTTTTTTTTTTTTCAAAAAAACGCGAATTATAAACCGTTGCTTTTTTTGCAGATCAACTTACCAAAATAAGCAAAGATTTACTACTTAATAAACACCCTAAAGATTAACACAGTCACTAAAATGAGAATATTATTATGAACCACCTTTTATTCTTAAATATCGCTTGGTTATAAGACCAATAACATATAAGAAAACGATGATGATGCCAATACTCCTTATTACATATATAATCAATTATAAATTTTTTATTTCAGAGATAAAAAAGTATCATGTCTTGATACACATCCCACATCTTTGATCTCAATGTGGTGATATGTTGTTCATGAATTCAATATAAATTGGCAGGTGATGAGGGCGATGAAGGAGATGATAAATATGATAGCAGTAAGGATAAATTAATAAAGAATATAAATAACGGCGAAAATAAAAAAATAGCTTTTTATTTTTTAAATAATTGTACAAAAAATATTTATATTATATAAAATCTAATTAAATTATACCCCCAATCGCGTTAAACTGCTGCGGTTTTATCCTTTGCAGTGCTTAATTGCAATTCCTTATTGATTTCATCAATTCTTTCTTTGATTTTTTCAACATCTTTAAGCTTATTTTCTAATGCAGCGACTTCCTTATCCAATGACATACGTTCCTCTGGTGTTCCAATTGTAGTAAATGTCCAGGTACCTTTCTCACCACTAAGTTTTAATAAATGACTGTGATATTTGAATAGTGATGGTCGATGAGATATTGTAATAAGAGCTAAAAATTTAATATATCATTAGCATGATTCATATTTAATATACTAATATATTTATCACTTAAAAAAATCAAACACTCACTGATTCCTATATCTTTTGCATGTTGATACATCAATCCTTCCACGTCAGAACTTACAGCGCTGGTGCCTAATAATAATATAATTATAAGTTTTAATTAAAAATGATCAACATATATATAAACTTATTGAAGTTCGCTTACATTCATCAAGGATTGCAAATTTTGGTTTATGGTAGAAAAGTCTAGCGATGCTAACCTAAATCAAAGATCGTAATTTTTTATTAATATCATTTTTATTGTGTTACCAAAAAACCTCTCCCAAAAATAAAATTACCCTTTGTTTTTCTCCTCCAGAAAAAACATCTTTCCATTCTTTTTTTGTTTCCCAGCCACCTTCACGACCAGGTATAAGCGATAAATGAACTGCCTTTAAAATTTCCACCAATTCATCATCAGTTCTTTTTGCTTGAAGCATATCTGCATATGAATGTGGATATATAATCCTATTTGAAAATTAATAATAATATTTTTAAAATTTTAAAAACAATAATATTATAATTGTAATAGTAATAATTATAGTCGTAATTTATTAGTAATTTATTGTTACTTACTGGTCACGAAGAGTACCGATACTAAGATATGGTTTTTGAGGTATATAAAAAATATCACCAACATTTGGCCTTGAAAGAGCACCTCCTATAAATAATAACATGGGACATTAATAAAAATTCTTAAAAAAGTTAATCTTTCAAATGTGTATAAAAACAACTTACTAAAAATTGGCCATAATGTGGCAATAACTCTTGAAATACTAGTTTTGCCAACACCATTTGGACCAGTAATTAATAAATGCTGTCCAGGTTTTATTGAAAAATTTAAATTCTTAACCAATTCCTCGCCACCTTTTTTATTACCTGGAATGACAATTGGAACATCTTGAAAGTCGAGTCCCTCATGATCATAAGTAATTTTTCCTTGGATATTATCAAGTGAATAAGTTTCTGGATTTTCTGATCCAATATATTCGTTAGCATATAATGAATGAAGAACTGACAATAAAGAATATACCCTTGAAGTAAATCCTGCAAGTTCTGCAAGTTCTTTGTAAGAGTACATCAAACGTCCACCAGCGTCAGCCAATGTTAACATAAGCCTTTACAAAAAAATAATAATTAGTTGAACATCTATATATGGAATTCATGATAAATAAATTGATGGTAAAAATACCTTTTATTTGTAATGTATGCTTTTGTACGATCCCTTTCTTTTCCATTTGAACTAACTCCTTCCAACTCTGTTTTTCCACCTCTTCCACCCCAAGCAGGAAAAAAAACTGGAACAGCAATTGTCAATAGACCAAATGCACTCCAAGAATATTTAATAACAAAATCTTCAAACATATTATAGAAAATTCTGATTTTAAAGATTGAATTGATGTGCTTAATTAGTTTCAAATATGTTCGGTTCAATATTTTATGTTCCAATTGTGCACCATTATAAAAAGCAATTTCCTCTGCATTTGTTATGATTCTGTTATGTGCTATACGGAAGTCACCTTCTAACTTGGCCTCATGAGCAGCCAATTTTCCAAAGGATGGTGAAACTTTCCTTAGAATCCAAGCTGTAGCAATATACATTCCAAATAATCCTGACATTCCTGTCACACCAATACTTTTAGATAATTGATAATTAAATATAATCATGTCTAATAGTGGTTTGCCTAAATTTGAATAAAGAGATGAAAGAGTATCGCAGAAACGTGCTATATCTGTAGTAATAAATCTAATATTTTTATAAATAAGATTAATATTAATAAGCATATAAATATTATATATATTAGTATTTAAAATTATTTATCAAATGCAATATCAAACAAAAATTTTTTAACTACTCAACTGATCAGGTCCTTCGATTCTATTATCCAAATTAATAATTTTATAATAATTGATTTTATCATTTAAATAAAGATCATGAATATATCTTGTCAATCTTGTCCTGAAAGCAATTGATAATTTTGATTGCAAAAAACGAATCTTGATTATTTAATTAATATTTTTAAAAAATGATTTAATAAAATTAAAATAATTAATTAATTTCATTAATGATCAAAATAAATTCTTACCATACTGTTTGTGTAAGTGGCAGGAATAGCAATCGCAAACCAATATGCTATACCTTTGAGAAATTCTTTACCATTTTCAGCAACCTAATCATTGAAATATATTTGATTGTCATTTATTAATAACATTAAATTCAATTATTCAATTTATGATTGAATTGACTTACCAGGTCACGAACAATTCTTCCGTCTAATTTTGCTACAACAATACTTAGCCAAGTTCTCAAAACCAAGAATAAGGAATGTAAAAATAATATAGAAAGTTCTTTTGAACGAATCTTTGGAATTATTATTTTTATAATTGCTTGAAGTTGTCTGAAAAATTGTCTATTAACCCCAACTTTTTGGTGGCCACCAGCAACATACTTGAAAAGCTTTTTATGTTCTTTAAAAGTTTCCTGTGGTGTTGGACGTACTGTAACTTTTGCTAATCGATTTTTATAAGGAACATTTAGGGTATATTTGTCAATTCCCGATATTGGACCATCAGCTATTGGCTTGGAAAAATTTACCATAGTTTTATAATAGAAAGCTAGCCAATTTAAAAAAATCTAAAAAAATCTACAAAATGTGTTGTACAATAATGTAGAAAGATGCAATTCAAAATTTTAACTTTAAAAATTTAACACTTTTAAAAAAAAACAATTTAAGGAAATGGATCTTGTAAATGAATATTCCTCTAGTGAAGATGAAACCATTTCTACTTCATTACAAGTTGCTAAACGACAGAAGATAGATTTAGCACCTCAAGTTACTTTAGAGGTTGGTATTATTAATGATAATAGTTATTAATGATAAATAGTTATTAATGATCATAGTTATTAATGATAATGATAATAGTTATATGATAAAACAATAAATTTTCCAACAAGATTAAAAAGGTTTTCTTTTTGAAAGCTAAAAAAATTTTTCGATATTTTTTTTCCCTTGATTTTATTTATAAATACATATTTTTTTAAGGGAACAATTTCAAATTGACTTGATAACTGGCTGATACGTACATATAAATATAAATATAAATATAAATATGTTTATGTGAAATTATACTAGGATTTAAAACTTACCAGATCGATTTATACAAAACCAACAGACACAGAAATTGGCTTTAACATACCATATGATGATATGATGAAACCTATGGCAGGACCACAAAATCCATTTAATACAAAAATAATGAATAAAAATGTGTTGACAGGACATGTGGAAGAACAAGCATATTCCGAGGCAACATTTAAGACACAACAACGTACATTTACATCATTTGGATATGCATTGGATCCTTCATTGATTGGAAATCCTGTTGGTTCTGGTGCAGCTAGCGGAGTTGGTAGTGGTGTAGCAGGTACAGGTTATGTAGGAGATATTGAAAAGGCCATAGCTAATAAAGGAGTCACAGTGTATGATTCCACGCCTAAATCATCAAATACACCCAAAAGAAAACCTAAAGGAGATTCGTCAATATTAGAAGGTGATAATGCATATCAGGGACCTTGGGCTGGTTATGAAGGTGAAAATATTGGAAATCCTGTTGGACCACCTGAAGTAATTTAACAAACGAATACATATGTTCATCTTTATTAATTGATTATTTAATAATCTATTTGCTGACTAGTTTATTTATTTTAAAAAGGGCGTTGTGTCTGCAAAGGTTGAAGCTGATGTTAAAGCTAAAAAACAAATAGAAGCTGGTCAAGAAAAAACTATATTTCATGGTTTGTAACAATATGTATACATTATTTATTTATTAATGATCATTTTAGATTTTTAACAAACTACTTATTTATTTGTTATAGGTAAATCTGAACATGATTATCAAGGAAGAACTTATATGCATGTTCCAATGGATTTGGATGTCAATTTATTAGGTGAACCGGGCCAACAAGAAAGTTACATACCAAAAAGATGTATTCATACTTGGTAAATATATAAATTATTTATTTTAAAAAAATAAATTAAAAAGCATTGTCAAGAAAATCAAAAATTTAAATTCATGGTTTAAATTTAGGACTGGGCATACAAAAGGAGTTAGTGCTATAAGATTTATTCCAAAGTCTGCACATTTGATTTTATCTGCAAGTATGGATACAAAAGTCAAAGTGAGATTTTATTTAAAATAACAATGATGATTTTATGAATAATGATAATTTTTACCTAAAAAATTGTAATATTTTGACCTTAGATTTGGGATGTTTATCATGATCGCAAATGTTTAAGAACTTATATTGGACATAATAATGCAGTTAGAGATATTACATTTACTAATGATGGAAAACGATTTTTAACTGCTAGTTATGATAAATATATTAAATTATGGGATACAGAGACTGGTAAATGATGATATTTGTAATTTGTATCATATTATTATGCTCTCATATCAATTATCTAATGATGTTTATTAAAAGGACAATGCATTAAGTCATACACAACTGGTAAAATTCCATATGTTGTTAAATTTAATCCTGATGAAGATAAGCAAAATATCTTTTTGGCTGGATGTTCGGATAAAAAAGTAGTTCAAGTAAGTATAAATGGTTGTTATGCAAATTATTTATGTATTTCTTTGTTTATTAATTCGTTAATTTCTGCTAGTTTGATGCTAATACTGGGGAAGTGACACAAGAGTATGATCAGCATTTGGGAGCTGTAAACACAATCACGTTTGTAGATGATAATAGGAGATTTGTTACAACTTCAGATGATAAAACGTTAAGAGCATGGGAATTTGATATTCCGGTTGTAATTAAATATATTGCCGAACCACATATGCATAGTATGCCAGCAGTAACTTTACATCCAAACAGTAACTATTATAATGATTATTATTTATTAATTATAACAAACGATTGGTTGATTGGTTAATTAATAATAAATTTTAATTGCGGATTATTAGGAAAATGGCTTGCCTGTCAATCGTTAGATAATCAAATAGTAGTTTATGGAGCTAAAGATCGATTTAGGATACATCGCAAGAAAAGATTCACAGGCCATTTGGTTGCTGGATATGCTTGTCAAGTTAATTTTTCACCAGATGGAAGGTTCATTATGTCTGGTGACTCGGAAGGGAATATGTTTTTTTGGGTAATGTGTTTGTTTGTATACGATTGAATTTTATATATATATAAAATTGAATATAATTAATTTACTTTTATTAAAAAAAAGGATTGGAAATCTTGTAAAATGCTCAAGTAAGTTGAAATAAATGTTTATGAAATAATAAATACATTAAACAAATATTAATCATCATCATCATCATAATTTAGAAAATTCAAAGCACATGATAATGTTACTATCGGGTGTGAATGGCATCCACATGAAACCTCTAAAGTTGTTACGTGTAGTTGGGATGGATTGATAAAATTATGGGTAAATATTATCAATTTTAAAATAATTATATTAATAATAGTAATAATAATTTATTGTTATGATAATGTTTTAGGATTAATTATTACAGTTGAATTTATTTCTTGGAGATAAAAAATAATCGTGATTTTTTGGAAAATATGATTCGTTACCCACATGAGACTTGCGTTGTGTACTTTTTACATTAATAAATATCTATATTTTTTTTTATTCTTTAAAAATCATTCCCACATGTCAATCAATATATCCATGCAAATTGCAAGGCTAACATCACTACTCGTTAACGGATGTTTGGGAAAATTTTCCCCAATTGCCCAAACTATCCGTTAAACCGAGACTTACTGTGTATATCAACAGTATACCAAGATCATATAGTTGCATTAAAAGAGTCATAAAAGGCATTGTATAAAACTTAATTATATCCTCTAGCTTTTTAAAAAAATTTCAGGATATATATTTTTTAATATAATAATAAAACTTTTTTTTGTGTTTAAATTAATAACATTTATTTAAAGATTCTTGTCTATTCTATTTTATTTGATAAATTCAATTGTCCAGTCTTTTGTAATTAACAATTTCATTACTTTAATTACAAGATGAGAAGTTTCACTACTACTAATTGTTAATGCGTATTTTGTTGATAAATCATCATTATGATATGCTAATATTTTTGTTGGAATTTTTTGATTATTAAAACCTAATAATATTATTTTTTCCACAAAAATTGAATCACCGATTGATTTTACATATTTATTATTATTATTATTATTTGAAATAGCTGTTGATGTTAATTTTTCAGATTCAAATCTAAATTGTTGATAAATAAAGTCCCCATTTTTATAATCATATGATTCGCCATCATCCAAGTACAAAGTACCATTTGCTTCACCCTAAAAATATAATTTTTCAAAATTAATTCATAAATAATTATCAACAACTATTGTAATAATATTTTTACCTTTTTATCCAACGCAATCACAAGTGTTATTGGATCTAATATCATGGCAGCTGAACTACGACGAATTCTTTGACGTTGAGGAATAATAGACCCACCTTTAATAAAAACTGGGATTTTATCTAAAGGTGCTTCAATTTCAACAGCTTTATGTGAATTTATTTTAATTTTCTCATATGTAAAATAGTCATAATAAATCTAATGAAAAAAATTTTTTCCAAAAAAAAATATCAATATATTTCATTCAATAATAATACAACAAACCAAAATTAAAAATCAATATTTTGTATGTATTTCTTACATCATTCTCCGAAAAATATATTTCAGTTGATGTTTGACCTTCTTTAACAATAGGTTTTACAAGTAATGAATCTCCAACAAAGAATTGATCTTCAATTGCAAATGCATCCTCATCATCAGGAAAAACCACAAACATTGGTCTATATATAGATAATATACATGGGCATGTTAACAAATTTTTTAAATGTTTAAAACATTCTTTTTTTCCTCAAATAATTAAAATAGCATACATAAAAAGATAAATAATTTACCTTATAATAGGCAATCCTTTAATACTAGCTTCATAAAATAAAGTATACCATAAAGGTAATAATGTGTATCTTGATCTAATTGCTTCTCGGATATAACCAGTATATGGTTCATCCATTAACCAAGGTTCTCGGCGTTTGGTATCAATATGTGCATGTGCTCGGAAAAATGGCTGAAATGCACCTACTTGATACCAACGTACCAAAAGTTCAGGTGCAGGATTTCCAAAAAATCCTCCAACATCGGCTAGAAATTATTTATATACATGTAAATAATATTATTTCTTTCTCTCACTTTTATTCCCTTCCTGTCTTCTCTAAAAAAATTTCTTACCCCCTGAAAAAGGTACACCAGAAATTCCAATAGTCAATAACATGGGTGTTGAAATAGCCAGATGATCCCAGCTTGCAGCATTATCACCTGTCCATATAGCACCATATCGTTGAGTACCAGCAAAAAATGCACGAGACAGCACGAATGGACGCTTAGCAGGATTTGTTCTATTACTAAGACCCACTGAAGTTGCACTATGCTAATAAATAATATAATTATTATAATTATTGTTGTTGTTGTTGTTGTTACTACTATTATATATACATTTTATCAATAATTATAATAACTTACATAAACTAATCCATAAATATTATGTAGATTGCGATGTTCCCAACCACCATAATGAATAAGATCTTTGGGCATTGTAATTTCAGGCCCACTAAAGACAGATGGCTAAATTTCACAAAATAATAATAAATTATTTTTACATTTAAATATGTTTAATTTATAATATATAATTGATAATTTACCTCATTCATGTCATTCCATATATATAAAAATTCAGTTGAATCTTTGTATTGATCATAACCAAATTTTTTAACCCACCACAAATAAGTCAATGGATTAATAAAATCTGGCCAAGATGAACTACCTATATGATAACACCATACATAATTGAATCATAATAGTTTAGTAAAAATCATTGTTCAAGGAAAATAATATTAAATAAATATATAATACTTATTACCTGGCCAACACCATGCATCAAACACTTTACCATTAACATCTTTGACAAAGAGATCTTGATCAAGTGCTTCTTTATATAAATAATAATTTTCATCTCGTTTTAAATGAGGATCAACTATATTTACCATCTATAATAATATTTATAGTTGTAAAAAAATATATATATAATTAATTAACTAATTAATGTTTATGTCTTCTCCAAAAAAAAAATTTTTTTTCCTTACTTTTCGTCCTTTACGACCAATTTCTGTTTGCATTTTTACTGGTTCTGGAAATTTTACAAGATCCCATGTAAAATACTTTTTAGAATCAGTATGTTCAATATCTAACCAAATAACATCATATGGAATATCATGTGTATCAAATCCTTGATCCACTTCCTCAACATCTTTTTGATCAATATAATTCCAACGACATTGATGATAGCCAATTGCAAATGAGGCTGGCATGGCAGTGAATCCGGTAAGGTCTCCATATTGTTGAAATATATCGGAAGTTGTTGGTCCAAGGAATGCAAATACATCTATTATACCCGATTCGGAAAACCAGTGTGTTTGTGTAGACGTATGAAAGTGATTTGATTTACCAAATTTAAGAAATCTTGATAATCCAGAATTTTCTTCTTTGCTTTTAGTTATGTCTATCCAAGTTTCTGCAGCATTCAACCAAAAAACAGCTGCTGAATTACCTTTACGATGTGCAATCATAAAAGGGATAGATCCATACAATGCCATTGGATTATCCAGCTCATATTCAAATACATCTAAATTATATAATCTATAAGGCTCATTATATGCACCATCGCCTCCTCTATAAAAAGAAAATACAAAATATTATGTCAATAATAAAACTTATTATATATATGTATATTTATTTTTTATTTCAATAAAGGTGAATATACCGTGTTTCTTTTAATGAAAGAGTTGATGCATGTTCTGGTATACCATAAACATGACTAAACCCTGGAAAATTTATATCAAGACCAATAGACTCTGGTCCTAATTGTCATTATCATTATATCATTATCATTATCATTGTAATTATATATTTTTGATTTATGATTTAATTAATGTCATTATATTCTTTAAAAAAGTTACCATTTGGTTTTGTGTCAGTTTTTCCGTTAAATGACTCTGACCACAATCCATCACTTTCATCATCATCATCATCATCATCATCAACTTCTTCTTCATCAGATCCATCAACAGTGTCATTTACATCTTCAACAACATCATTGTCATTTTTAACGATATTTTCTTGATTACTTTGATCTACCAAAACTGGTGTTTCTTTTTCTTTCTTTTCTTTTTTTTCCCTTAAATATTCAATATTAAGGAATCCACGTTCATTTAGTGTGATCATTGGCACATCATTCAAAAAGAATTGAATGTGAAATGGTGAATGATGAATTACAACTTTATGATCTCTCTGTTCTCCATATGTGATTGTTGTAAATTTATGATCGTTATCATCTGATGTAATTAATGAATATTCCAGTGTATGACGCAAAGGTTTTTCTTGTTCTACAAGTGCCCAAATTTTAGCTTGATCATATCGAGGTTTCAAAGGGCTCTTTTCATCAATTCTTAATCTTGCAACATTATTTAACAAAAAATGTAGCTCAAAAACAAAATATTTTTTATTATTAATGTTAAATAAATCTCCTGATAATATACCATTATCATTACTAATCTTTAAAGTTTCTTTAAGTACTATATACGGCGACAATGTATGATTAGCCGATATTTTGTCAGCGTAAGCTCTATTACGCCGGCAAAAAGAAGTATTCGCACAAGTTCTAAAGTCTTGATGTTTCACTGCTGTAACGATAAAAATTGTAGTAGGTAATATCAACAAAAAAAATAATAAAAATTTAATATTGGAACGCCTAATAAAGTTTTCTAAATTAAGTTTATACAAAAAATTCATTATTTGTCTTTTTATTCAAAGTCAGTAATAGGACCTCGGATAATTATATTTGAGGAGATTTGAGAGATATTAATATAGGGGTATGCTACAACATTTGTATTACTAAAAATTTCAGGGCCCAAAATTTAGTCATCACCAATATATATAATGAATGAATGATTGATTCAGTGTTGGCAATTGGACTTATTGGACTAGTCCAATAAATCAATTGGGCTCTGGACCAATTCCAAGGGGTAGCCAATCATATTTTCAGCATTTATAGAACGAGAAAGATAGATATGATTAAATATTTTTTATAAATAAAAGTTATTATTAAATAATAAATACACTAAATTCATACCCAAGAGTCTTTTTTTATTTGGAGTAGAAAATTTTGTACATTATTTATTTCTTTAGATGATGTATTAATAGAACCTCCATCATCATTATAAAATTCATTTTCAATTGTAATTTCTGTATCAGTATCAGTGAACCAATTTAACCACTCCTCCTCAGTTGAGAAATTAATTCGAAAAGACTTACAATTCAACAAATGATTATGGCAAGTTTTATTAGTTAAGTTATTTTCAATTCATTGATATTTATATTAGGTTGAGAGCTCTTACAAGCAATGCAGATGCCCAAGTGATTATAACCATTTGGTTTATCAGGTAAAACATGAAAGTATTTTTTATATCGATTACTTCCTTGAGGCATTGAAAGAGTAATAAGTTGCAATTACATTCTTTACAGTAATAAAATTAATCGAGAGAAATTTTTTTTGTATGACAAAATCCAAATAAAGTCCAGTCCAATAAGTCCAGTCCCAAACCAATTGGGACTGACACTTTTTTACTGCGTCAATTGTACTGGCGATTTTGACAACACTGATATAATGAATGTAATTGATTACTAGCTACATTCTCGTTTTATTACAGATGCAGATGAAAAAATGCTTTGTTTGGTAAATGAATGCTTGATATTGAATTGGGAGGGTAAAGTAAAACTTTTTTTAATTAAAAATATACTTTTCTCACAAATATAAATATTAAAATATTATTTATTGTAATACATTATTATTTTGTTTATTCTAAAGGAATTCCTTCAAATTCATTATAGCCAAGTGCCAAATTTATATTCTGTTAAAAAAAAATTTTTTGTTAATTGAAAAATTAAGTATGATGAATATCCATTAAAATAAATTAATATGTTTATATATGTGTACCTGTAAAGCTTGTGTTGCAGCTCCTTTTAATAGATTATCTATAGTAGCAACTACAACAACTCTTTTGCCAGATGAATGTACTCCAAAACCACCTATTCTTACAAAATGTTTTTCAGCATTATCTCTAACAAGTGGTACATCATCAACCACCTTAATTAAACTTTCTCCTGAATATTGTTTTTCATATAATTCTTTGATTTCAGAAGATTTGAAAGTCTTAGTTAAAGGAATGTTGACAGTTAAAGCAATACCCTGAAAGAATGATCCAACATGTGGAATGAAATTGACACTTCTTCCCAAATGATAAGAGATTTCTCGTTCATGGATATGATCAGTTAAAGTATATGGAATTAAATTATCTTTAAGAAAAGATGGATCATTTTTGGGGGATGGTTTTGTGCCAGCTCCTGAATAACCAGAAACACCAAATACAGTAGGATTTTCAGAAATATATGGGATTAATGGTGCAATTGAAAGTTGTGACCCTGTTGCATAGCAACCAGGATTTGAAATCCTTGTAGCCTTTTTAATTGCATCACGACGATTTTTAAGTTCTATTTCAAAAAATGTATGAATATTTATATAAGCATTAAGTGTTGCTGAATACTTTTTTAAAATGAATGAATTGAAACTTACCAGGTAAACCATATGTCCATTCATCAGTAAAACGATAATCAGCACTAAGGTCAACAATCAAACTTTTGTTTACTTGATCTTCATTAACAGCTTGTACAAATGGAGCACAAACACCATTTGGCAAAGCCATAACCCAGCAGTCTACTTCGCCATTCTTTTGCATTTCTTTAATTTGATCTGTTTTTAAATTTACATATGTTATATCTTCTTTTGTATATCCATCCAATTTTTGGCCCTCAAGTTCTCGAGAAGATACATGTGAAAGTGATAAGTGAGGATGAGTATTTAATAAAGAAATGAGATTTTGACCAGTATAGCCACGAGCACCTATCAGAGCAACTTTTGCAGGATTTTTAGAAGTAGAATATTGTCTATGGTTTGGATGAAAATTGAGTTTTGAAAATAAATTTTTTCTGTTTCCAGCAAATGTAGAGTATGACCGTTTAGCAGCATTGTTGTTAGTGAAAGCTTTTCCAAATGAACTGACATCATTTGTACTTGAATTTGTAGCAATGAAGTTGTTAATAACTTTGGAAACAACACCTACATCATCAATGCCATACCAGAATAAGACTTTTCCATCTTTTGTATAACTACCATTAGCTTTAGTGAAATACCAAGTTTTATTTTCATCATGTTCATCAACAACCCAAGTTAATTTAGGATTATCTTTTTGGATCATAGCCCATACATTCTCATTTACATTATTTAGGAAACCATTTTTGGTAGCAATGAATTTTTCAAGAGATGGAATTGAATTTTGATTAGATTTATCATTATTGGTGATGATGGCTAATACTTCATATGGTTCGTCAGTGTAGACAGAATAAGATTGATTTGAAAGTTGCTGAGCGTATGAATTGAAATTATTAGAACCATATTCACCACTTTGAAGTAATTGATTTAGCTTGGTTGAATCCATTTGATCAAATGAATCATATTTAAAAAGACGATAACCGCGACGTATCAAAGTTCCTGAACCAAAATCTGTGAAAAGCTCCTTATGCAGTTCACTGGCAGATGTGATTGCAACTGAGGAAGAATGTGGAAGGTGATCAAGAAGTTCTTTGATCTCTTTGATCTTTAATCTTGTACCATATTTTACCCATGGTTGCGCCATATAATTTTCATATTCCTAACATATATATATATATATATATATAAATTTATTTTTAACCATATACACACATATATACACATATATTTATCATAAATCGCTCACCTCATCAAGATTTATAATATCTATTTTTTTATTTGTTTCGCCATGTAATAAACCACGTTTTTCACTTAGGTAAATTATTTTGAGCGGTTCCAATACTCTAGCCAATTCACCAGCGGCCACATCAGCATTAACATTTAATATTTGACCGGAAGGAGTTTCGGCCAAACTAGTCAAGATTGGCAATACACCGGCTTTTACACTAGCTTCAACAACTCTTTTTTGTACACCAGTAATTTTTCCTACATAACCATATTTATCTTTATCCAAGTAATCAGCAATGAAAACACCACTAGGAATTGGTCTTGCACGAGTTCCCTGACGTTCCAATGCTTCTACAAGTTTAAGGTTTTCGCCTAAAAATATGTTTCTGGCAATTTCTAGTGTTTTAGCATCAGTTACACGTATTCCATCAATGTAATTTGGTTCTACACCTGCTTCTTCTAACATTTTGTTCATTTGTGGACCTGCTCCATGTAATACAATAGGATATAGGCCAACACGGTTAAGGAAACTGAGTGAGGATGCAAGAGTATCCAATTCATCAGTTAGAACTGCTCCGCCAACTTTGATGACTGCAAACTTTTGTGATTCTACAGAGGAAAAATGACGAAGGTATTGTTCAACTTCTTTTCGGGAACCAATATTATACAATAATCTGATAATTGTTTCCTGTTTTAAAGATAATAATATGGTAAGTAATAGTGGATAATAATAATTTTCAAAATCACAAAGAAAAAAAAAACTTTGTATCTACTTTTTCATTCTTATCTGGATCTCTTGAATAAAACCTGTTTTGTTGAAAAGAATTTGTTTTTATTTTTTGACAAGATTGTAAAAGTGTTTTACTTATAGGGTAATTTATATAATTAGATTTGGCATTACAAAGTTTCGTGGCTCTTAAAAGTTGGTTTTTATATATTTTTGAAAACATGATAATTTTATTAATGAAATTAGACGGATTAAATAATACTCAATAAATAAAAAATAAAGAAGAAAATGTTTGAAAGGATTGAATATGATGAGTAAATCTCCATTTTAATATACAAACAAATAAATAGATTGATAATAAATTTTTTGAGATTATTAAAAAAGATATTAGATTGATTTTATTGATTTTCCAAAATTGGAATAAAGATCATATATTGTATTAATCTTATGATAATATATAGTAAATAGAAATTATTGATCCTTTGTGTAATATAAATAATATGTATATTAATTAACGAATTTATTTTATTTATTTAACAAAAGAATACAACTCAACTAAATCAGTGCAACATACTTTTAGAAGATTGGCAATATTTTGAAAGAATTGACAACGATACTGTTACGAAAATTTTCGTTTCACAAAATTGATTGCGTTGTATAAACCTATTTGATCCCAATTTTTTTTAAAACGTTCAAAGGTTGTATTTATAAGTAAAAAAAAATGAGAAAAAAATCATTTATCAAAAATCAAGCCTTTTCCAAAAGTGTAAGAAATATTCTCTTGCCACTAAAATTTAGGAATTAATCCATTATTGTTGAAGAAAAATCAACTAAGCTTTTCTTTCCAACAAGAAATTGATCCATTATTGTTTTAGTATTAGCATCGCCACTAGAAAACAATAATTTGGAATTAATCAATATTGTTGGTTTAACAATTGTATTACCAATATAACATGACCATGATATTTGCTTTTTTGCTTAGAATTATCTCTATATAAAAATAATTAATATGAAGCTAATTTACCATCAGACGTATTTTGAAAAAGGAACAAGGTGAAAAAATTGCTCCTTATATTTTCAAAATAAATGATGCTCAGGCACTTGAAGCTTACCTAAGAAAAGAAAGGATTACTTATGAAATTTACCAAGAGGAGAGGAAAATAATAAATGTTAGAAAAAGAAAGCAGCTATTGCTCAACAAAAAGCAAAATCCTTAGAAGAAAAATAATCTCATTGTTACAATATTGATTTATTTTTTCCTTTTAATTCTTCTAATGACATAAATTATAGCAATTATAAAACCTAAAGTTAAAGTTATATTGCTATTTATAACCCAATAGATTTACCATCAAACTTTTTTTCATTCTTTAAAATCTTGTTTTTATATTCATCAACAACTTTGTCAAAATCTTTACATTTATAATCAGGAAGAATATAAATCTTATTTTTATCAGTAATACTGTAGCTGCTTTTTATAATCATTGGATTATCATCAGTAAGATATCAAAAGCCAGAACATTTTCTCTAACTTACATCTAAAGGAAAATAACTATCATTTTCTTTGATAGTTGGAATGAGTTTCAATTTATACAGAGAAAAATTACTTTCTTATTTTCAATCAAGGTTATTTCTTAGTTTCTTTGACTTCAATTTGAGCAATTTGACCATTCTTTTCCTCTTTTAACTTCTTGTTTTCCTCTTCTAGTTTTGATTGTAAAATTGTCAATATTTGACAAGTTTCTAACCAGTGAACAACATATAATACAAAAACAAATAAATATCTTAAATATGGGGATCTTCAACCAATTGGCATGGGAACATTTGATTTATTGGTTTAATTTCTGCAGAAGGCCAACGTACAACAACTGGAACCTTTTAGTACATGTGTTTTTACAAAAAAGAACTTTTTGAAATTTAAAATTACTTGAGCAATTAAAACATAAAAATGTGAATTATTTCGACCTCTATTAAACTTATACTATAAGTATAAATCTAATATTACAAAAATTGAATAGATTTTTTCTTTGCTTATTAAACATAATCTGCAACTTACATCTTTGCTAATTATTGGAACATATTTACATTAATTGTTAATTTCACATCTATTGGAAAAACAATTTATTCAATACTTTTTATATCAAATATTGGTGAGACTTTAAACACAATCAATTAAATAAATGAATAAAATTATTAAATGATATTATATATTTAATGTAACTTGAAATATGTTCATTTGGCTCATACATAGAAATTTGGTAAGTTACCATGTTTTTTTTGAATTTCTGAGTTGTTTATTATTTGGCTACAAAGAAACTCTATGATCTTATTTTTTTATATTTATTTATTAATTAGAAACCAAGCAATATTTTAATTAATGAAAATTGAGATTTGGAGTTATTTATAAAATGGAGGGGGGTTAATTAATTTAATTGATATAATTTTAATATATATATATTAAAGATTTGTGATTTTGGGCTAAATAGAGTTCAAGACCCAAAAATGACTGGTTGTGCTGCAACCAGATATTATCAAGCTCCTGATATCACACTAACATGGCAAAAATATGGTGTAGCAGATAATGAATGATAACATTCATTATATTATTATAATAAGAATAAATATAGAAATAATTTATTTTATGTTATATAGTGGATATATGAAATGCTGGTTATATTTTAACAGAAATTATAATGGGAGAACCTTTACTTCCTGGGAAATATTGTAAGTTTTACTTAAAAATAATTTTTTAAAATAAAAATATTTATAAACATTAACTAAAAACTTTTTTTAGGTGGAAGCTTAAATCTTTAAATATTATTTACTATTAGATGTAAACCAAGTTTCAATTATTATGGAATTACTTGGCACACCACCAAAAGATGTAATCAAAACAATTTGTAGTGATAATGTATTATTTATTTATTATAATTTATCTTTGTTAAAATTTCATTTAACAAATAATTATTTTGATGATTTTTTCTTGTTAGGCTTTAAGATTTGTATTATATTGCCAAAATTACATTCTTTCAAAATTTAAAAATACAGATTCTGAAGGTAAATATATTATTGGAAAATAATAATAATAGTTAATATTTTAATAAAAAATATTGGATTTACTTTAAAAAAATGGAATTTTAAAAAGATTTGCGGAAATATATGACTATCTTCACACTCAATCAAGTATGAGCTTAATCACGCAATGATCCATTTTTATCATGCAAAGATGGACATTTATATCTTGGACTGTAAACTAATCATTTCATCGAATGTGTCCAGTGGAGTCGTTAGAGATGCCAATCGTGAACTGTGACAAACAATTGACAATTTGACAATACAAATGGTAAAAAACTATGCAAAGGAATATTATGCATTTTCTGTCCTACCTTTTAAAAAAATAGCCTCATTAGTTGGTAAAATAGGCTTCTACTTTTAATGTAATAAAGAGATTTTCTCCAAAAAATTATTTGTTGTAAGTTCTATTCTTTTTTAAAACATGTACTTTACTATGCTCATGAGAAATTTGAGCACTATGATCATTGCTAAATTTAGACTAGTTTTTGTTCATCATTCCTAAATTTAGCCTAATACTCGACCATCATATCTAAATTTGGCAGTAAGAAAAATGTTTTTTAACCAAAATCACGTGTAACCCTTTTTTAAAAAATTTTATTGCATTTTTGAACAAATCACAAAATTGCAATTTTTGAAATTTGAGCGCATGGTGCAGCTGTAGGAGGTCTTTAGACTGAGCCAACCATATATAAAGGACATCATTTTCTATTCTATTCTTTTATGTACTTCTAATCCTTAATTTGGGCCATTCAATTGTAAATATCAAAAACATTTGGAAAAGATTCTCTGAAATAAATTTTATAATTTTATTTCAACATTCAACACAATAATAAAAAAATTATTACATAAAAAAAAATCAATCAATAATAAATGTAAAAATGGTTGTTTACTCTGTTGATCGTTGAATTTCGTCACAATATCCTCTTAAGATTTCTGCTTCATATTCTTCAGCAGCTCTTGCAAATTTATCAAATTCCTCTCTCTTGCTAGCTACAGATGCTAATTTCAAGCATAACTTGTACTTGAGTTCTTCTTTGAGTTCGCGGATTTCCAATAAGTAAGATAACCTTAAACATTCAATTAATAGTTGACTCCTCAGTTGTAAATTATTCTTGTTTACTACATGTTTAACCTAGTGATGTTAGCCATTTAAAAATCCTTAGCCGGCTAAGCCGTTTACTACCTAAATTGGTAATTTTATTTCTATAACAAGAAAGTAATGCAGAAATCTATTACCAAATTTAGAAATTATGCATGCAGATTATTAGCCAGCTAACATCACTAGTTTAACCGTGTCATCAAATGGTTGCCCATACAAGTTTCTGATGATCATTTTAAGAATATCTGGTTGAGTATCACAACCAACTCTTTCAAATAAATAGTCCAATCCTGTTTCTTCTGAATATCTTCTGAAAAATCCAGAAGAAAGCCCTAAAAGGTACGGATTTGCCAATATACCATCACCAAATGTTACATAGTTAAAAATGGTATCTTGTAGGGTTTTTATTCATGAATATCATGAATATCATTAAGGGGGTTACACACTATTAAAACAGCAAAAAATCCCTTAAAAACATGAGTTGATCACTTGATTTTAATAGTGTATGACCATGTGTGACCCCCTTATGATATTCACAAATACAAACCCTAGTATCTTGATCATCAAGGGATTTCAATGACTTTTCAACTAAAGGATGAAGTGGTAGTGGTAAAGAACCTTTCAGTGATACTGGTGGTGCTGGAATCTTCAAATCTTTCACACTAACTAGTTTTAAAAATTCTTGAAACGACAACAAATAATCCACAATTGCTCTTTTGGACTCATCAAAATCCGATTTAATATTTTTAATAAGATGTTCTCCTTTTACCCAATTATTAGTTTCACATGGATTTTCACCATTAAGTATAAGCTTTTCATTTCTTGGAAAGTTCTTTTTTAAGTCATTTAGAGTATTCACATCTCCACACAATGATTCAAAATACCTGTAAATCTTTTTAATGGAATTAAATAAGGAACTTTGTGATCCTGGTCCACTCCATATATTTGATGTTGATATTTTATTATTGATAACCTTTAAGTGTCTAACAACCATTGTTGCATTTGGCTTATTGATTGATGGATACATGTTTAAAATAGCACCTCTGGGTTCAATTTTTTCAGAGTAAAACAATTTTTGTGTCCAACACAATTCAAAATTTTCATTTAAAGCAAGATTGTTGAAACATTCAAAAATTTGTGATTCATCCAATGGATTTTCCATGTTCTTTGTACAGATGTTTTAAAAAGTTTTTCGGTATAGGAATGAATCTTATGTATAATAGCTCTTCTTCATCAAGTCCTAAGCTTTCAATATTAACATACAAATAATACAATAAATTTTCTGATATTTGAACCAAGGCTTCATTACTGATGCTAAGATTATCCGAGAGTATTTCTATTTCATTGGCACATTTTATAAAAGCATCTTTATTGCATATATCTCAAATAAATCCCATAGATGAAAGGACATTCAAAAATTCACCATCTGATTGCAATTCAATAGGCAAGAATCATTCCGTGTGATGAAATAATTCTCTAAATATTTTGTGGTTTGAATTGTATAAATCTTTTGCAGAATACAACTTTTTGAAAGTTATGTTTGGTAAAAATTCCATGTCTTTAAGATATGTGATGAGGTTTTTGTCACATTTGCAAATAATTTCCTTTAAAAAGTTCATATATTCTTTTTTGAAATCATTGGTCATATATGTCTTTGCATTTGGTAATATGTCCTTTTTGATATAATTGATTAGCAGACGCTCTGGGATACCAAATAGTTTTGCCATCCTCTAGATTGACGAAATGAGTAGTTTTGATAGGAAAATACGGAATGCCTTCAGGTAGCAAATATATATTATTATCATGAGATTTTTTATATGTTGGTCTTTCTGAATAAATTTTCCAAATTGGAGATTTTCTAAGATTGGTTTGATTTCCTCCTCTTCTTTTTTATCCCAAAACCCTGATCCTGTTGTATCATGTTGTTATTTCCCAATACCAAAAATATTGCTTTAGTGCATGCATGTAATAATAATAATAAAATTCTTTTGGCTTACCTATAATTCCTAAAATAAGTTGTTTTAGAGTACCAAACTCATTTTCACCAAGGATTCTTGTGTTAATATTATTATGGGATTTGTAAGCTTTGAATGATCGGAACAAGTTGATCTTGTTGAATTCCATTATATGCTGTTTTAGTAAGATTGGAGCCAAATTCGTTGAAACTCATATTAATTTTCACAAAAATTTTATTTAGTTTATCTTCCCCATCCAATCTTAATAGAGGGGTTTTTCTTTCTGCTTCCTTTAAACTAATTAGCTTATTACATCTAAATGTATCTGATTCGAGCCTATCTCAAATTTCAATTAGGGGATAAGATGCCAATCCACTTGTGTCAACATTTACATCCGTGTTAATATGATTCCATATTTTGCCAAGCCATGAGCAGTTTGGTATTTCTGATGAATCTGGATCATAATTTATACAATTATTCTTTGGCAAATCAGCCTCGAGAACAGTTGATATTGTTGAAGAGTTAAAATGTCTAATATTTATAGATTCCTGGAAATCTTCACTGTTGAACATGTCAAATAATCCAATCTTTTTAAGCATGTCAATTGATATAAAATGATTTTTGCTTCCTTTGGGAAATAGTTCTATTTGTTCATTTGTTGTGAGTGAAAAGTAACTTTGACCAAAAGTACCAAATGAATCATCAAATAATAGAACTAAAGGAATGCCATCAAGATCATTGTATTTTCCATCTTTTAGTATATATTTTAACAAATCGATTTTTGATGAATACTCCAAATCTTTGTTAGCGAATCCATGTTCACTTAAAACATCCTTGACCAATTTTGCATCGATTTTCTTGTATTCAATTTCCAGATTGTCAAAAACTTTGGCCTTTTCATCATCTAATACAACTACCACTTTACCATTATCCAAAAGATAATCAATAATGACTTTTCCGACTTTATTATCATCTCCAATGTGAGCTTCACTAAACTTAACAAATCTACCACCACCCAACTCGCTCCAAAATGTGCTTTCATCATTTTCACTAATTAACTTCAAGACCTTCTCCCCAAAGGAATGTATTCGTTTCTTTTTGTCATTGGCCAATATTTAGAAATGATTTGTACTTGATCTTTCATGTGGTCATAATCATTGGCATCAATTAGTTCAACTAGATGTTTCATCGACTTGATGTAAACAGTTGGCAAAATTTCACTGAGTATAAAATTGTTCCAGGTAACTTTATTTACTTTAACATCACCATCTCCAACATTTATGAATTGTTGTGTTAGTTGAATGTTTCTATCTGATGATAAACCCCAGCCACATGAATTCAAATTGAATGGAAGATCTGTTCCCTCAACGGACAAAGACAAATTTGAATATAACTTTCCACTTAATTTGATATGTCGTTTTGCTGCTGGTTCACAACTATAATCAAGCAATATTCCAATTCCGGATGAATGGCTCAGATGATTTTCCTCTGAATAATTTCTGAGGTGTTCATTTTCAATTTCTTCATTCCTACTACTGGAACATATTAGCCAATTTGTTGATGCTACCTCGTCATCAACATTGTGCTCAAAAAGCTTAGTCAATAGACAAGATGAACCAAGTGATTTACCAAGATTTTGTCTAAGCTCCATATTAGAAATTTTGGACATCTCCACTTTCCATTTTAACGTTAACAAAAAGTCATTGCTCAATTTTTCATAAACTTCCATTGACTTAATATTTCTTAGAAATATCAATTCTGATAATGCCCTATATCTATAATTCATTAAAGTATTTCTTATTTTAATGATATCATGGTTTTTGTTGGAAATTTTGCTTGTGATATCTTTGGTTCTAAGTGGCAATCTAAATAGTGTTCCTTTGAATTCTTTTCTTTCTCTAAGTTGAAAAGATTTTTCTTCATTATTGTCTAGAGCAAAATTATCAAAAGGCGCAAACTGATTATGATATCTTTGGAACATATCATTCCTGTCATTCCTACTATCCACAAAATTAAATTTAATGCCTGGACCTGTCAAGTATTTTTGGTGTGGATCAAATATGACAATATGTTTTCCAGTAATAAAACTTGGTAAATCTGTATAATGATAACAGGTATTAAATCCTAATCCAAATCTTCCAATCTTTTCATATTTGTCTAATTTGCTACCAATGCCTAATTCCACCAATTTTTCCAAGTCGTCTTCAGTAAAAACCTTATCATTATAAATTAGAATAGCGGGTCCTTGCCAATGTCTTAGATCTTCTGTTATTAGATTATCTATTTTATAACTACTTTTATCGATAATTACTGAAAACTTTGTTGTGTTGGTGTCATCAGCATTTTGGAGAAACTCTTGAAAAACAATATCATCATGATAATAATCCTGTTGTATATTAGGAAAAAAAAAAAAAAAATAAGATAAAAATGTACATGATTTCATTATATAAGACATATCAATCCATCGTCTTTCCATTTTTATTAATATATACAATGAATAAATTAATGTATACTTTGATGATATTGTTTATTCTACTGGTAAGAGCTTCTTTTTGTTGAAATTCATCAACACCTTCGTATTGATACAAATCAACACGTGCTCTTTTATTTTCTTCTCTTTTGACATATTTAAAAAGAAAAAAAATAATAATTAGTTAACATTTTCTACATATATTTAACGTAATAAATTTAACATGTATATTACTTGAATGTTATTCGCAAATAATATTGGTTTTGAGATACATATCTTATATATATAACTAGAGTGACGACGACAGGTGGCGGGCGATAACCACCACCACCATCATTAAAAAACACTTACCCGCCAAGTGCCTCCCCTTTGTTTTCTTGTCTGTTTCTTTTATTTCTGGACATTGCAAAAAAAAAAAAAAAAAAAGTAAAATAAGTTTGTTTATTTGATCGACGCGTACACGCTAATTATTTATCCTATTGGTTTTTTTTTTGGTACATAGGACAGATGCGAATTGATTTTTTTTTTTATTTTTTTTTTTTTTGGGAAAAACAATTTATTTTTTGACAGAGTCCAAGGTGACAAAACGTGAGTGTTGTTGTTCGGTTTGGTTTGGGTCTCCTAAAGAAGAAGTGCTAATAACTAACCAGAGATACTATTTTTTATTTGTATTGATATTTTTATTTTGGTTTATAAACATTTTAATTGGAATCAAAACGCGGAGCAGATCTTGCTGGGTAATTACAAGATTTTCATTGATAATATAATATTTTACTTTTCGTAATTGTAGTAATATTAATAATATTATTATATTATTATAATCACAAGATGTCAAGGCAGCATGACTGACTGTTACAGAAGAAACAATTCAAATATGAAACAATTCAATATGCAATGTTTGATTATCGGAAATTGGCAGATGTTGAAGCACGCTATGCTGCCTTGAACACTTTACAGTCATTATCATCTTCCTCATGTACACAAGGCTAATCTGACTTGCGACCCCTCGATGATATGATGATGCAACCAAATTCTAGGGGAGGGACGCAATGCCCTGAGATTTACCGAGACTGCACCAATTGTCAAGGATGCTTTCACTAGTCTTCCCTCACCAGAGAAGGCTGCTGCCACGCTAGCAGAAAAGTTGCCTGCAACGATCCTATCTCTAGGGCAAGGATGGCACTGTGACCAAGTCGCAACTCTGCAGATGAATATTAGTGCCATGTAAATATCCAGATCCATCAAAGCAACGAGAATCTGCAACTTGCTCAAGCACAGGAGGTCACAATTCAGAGCAGGGTTGGTGGCCCTGAAATTGCATTTGGGTTCTGATGTTAAGAGGGAAGTTGTAAAATAGTGTTCGTTTTGTATAATCATTTTTGTAAATTCTCTGTTTCTCTGATATTAACCAATTTAATGATTTTGGGTAGGGGACTGGATTGGGTTTTTGCCCAATCAGTCCTCTGTCCTATAGGTTAAAATTATCACACGATTATATACATCCTTGTCAGTAATATGGCCAACATGAAAAAAGATATAAAATGGTTCGGATTTTGTTTGGTATGTTTTGTATAAATTAATCATTTTCCCAAATTTTTTGCTTCTCTTTAATCTTTATCTGACCAACTGAACTTGTTATTTAAATAAATGGAGGGTAGGGTTGTTGGTGAGTAAACATGCCACTGACAAGACAAGGAACGCCTTTGGGATGTACCAGCCAAACTTGTAGAAAGGGATCTTTTGTCCAGACTTTGGGTCACATAGATGTTAAGCACAGAAAATGTACACTATCAATGTATATATTTTTTTCAACAAAATAAACATTTAAATAATTAATTGTTAAATATTAATACTTTACTTTTCATAAAAATTACAGCAACCCAGGACTCAAAACTCTGAATTCAGGAAAAATCCAAGACAACAAACCAGGTTGCAACCTCCCAAGTTGCTGAATTTTCAATCAGTTGTAGGTGCCAACCTTTATGCTAGTGAGGGGTATAACACGCAGCAATCATCACACAAATGTCAACTCTCATCAGCAAACAATGCACCATATGGTGACAGCCAGCCTAGTCTGAGGGGAGGATAAGGAAAAGTTTTGTCTGAAGCCTTCCAACATGTTCAGGACCACTTCACCTGTGGGGAAAAAATTCCATGGTGCTGAATTGTGCTTAATTGCACTGTCCTGCATGTTTGTGATAGGGAAATTTTAATTAAATCTGACACCTGCAATCAATATCAGATTTATTATTCATGAGCAACCATGATTGATAATCAGGAAAAGTAATTTATTATTGTGAATCCCAGAGATCTGGGTAGACATGCATTATTAAAAGTTTCATTTTTGCATGGCCTTGGTAT